GATTCGATGGGTGACCAAGAAACCCACTCCTCTTCCCCCCCCTGCAAGGCGCGCCCCCCCCCCCCCGCCCCCAGTCTCCTCCAGCTCGCAAACTCCGTCCATCCTCCAGGCTCTGAGTTCTGAGGCTGCAGTGACTCAGCCGGGCCAGCAGGTGTCAGCAAAGGCCCAGGGCCTGGGTAGGGCTCCGGCGGGTCAAAGCTTCGCGCCCCTCCCCACCTCCGGTTGCCTCTGGCTTCTCCGGGCGGCCCACCGCCCAAACTTCTTCATCCCTAACGTTCTTCCTAGTCGGCTAGAGGAGGCTCAGACTGCTTTCCTTCTAGGACCCCAGAGCTGCCCCAGGCTCCTGATGCTCTCTCCTCTTGCAGGGCCGCCTCCTCCCCACTCACTCTTTCGGCGTCTCTGCTCCGGACCCAAACTCATCCTGATCTCCATCGGCCTTAGCCTCCTGCTGCTGGTGGTTGTCTGTGTGATCGGATCCCAGAGTGGGTTCCCCGGGGGTGGGCTGGGAAGGGAGCAATGTTGAGGGTGGGTGGGTAGGGGACGTGCTGGCTGCTGTGATGGTGGACACAACCTCCTAATTTTGTCCTATCCACACCCTCTTCTGCCCAGACTCCAAGCTGCAGGAGGAGCTGCGGGCCCTGAGAGAAACGTTCAGCAACCTCACAGTGAGCACGGAGGCCAAGGTCAAGGCCCTGAGCGTCCAGGGTGAGGAGGGCTGGGGCTGGGGGCGGGGCTGGGAACGTAGGGACATTGGGACACTGAGCAAGTCTCTCCTCTAGGAGGAAATGTGGGCAGAAAGATGAAGTCCCTGGAGTCCCAACTGGAGAAACAGCAGCAGGACCTGAGTCAAGGTCAGCGAGGGAGCATGCGCGCGCGCTTCCGCATGCAGGATACAGGGGTCTCTCAGGCCAAACCAAGGCCAAACGGCAGGAGCATCTGTGATCCATCTTCACGCCCCAGCACGCAGACGACAGAGCCTTCCCAGTCCCCTCCCCCACTCATTCCCCTCCCCCTCTGCCCTCTGTCTCCCCAGATCACTCCAGCTTGCTGCTCCACGTGAAGCAGTTTGTGTCTGACCTGCGAAGCCTGAGCTGTCAGATGGCCGTGCTCCAGGGCAACGGTGAGGGGGTGGGTGCTGCCCAGCCCCGCTTTCCTGCCCACTTTCCCTCAGCCCCTCCCCCTCCCTCTGCCTGCCCCCGCCCCCCCACACCCCCACCCCCCAGGCTCTGAAAGGACCTGCTGCCCGGTGAACTGGGTGGACTTTGAAGGCAAATGCTACTGGTTCTCTCGCTCGGGGAAGCCCTGGCCCGAGGCTGAGAAGTACTGCCAGCTGGAGGACGCCCACCTGGTGGTGGTGGGCTCCTGGGAGGAGCAGGTGAGGGCCAGGCGGGGCTCGGCTGGGAGGCTGGCAGGTCTAAGGAGAGATCACCAGCCCCTCCTCTCTCCCCAGAAATTTATCCAGCACCACATGGGCCCTGTGAACACCTGGATGGGCCTCACTGACCAAAACGGGCCCTGGAAATGGGTGGACGGGACAGACTATGAGTCGGGCTTCAAGTGAGTGTGTGTGCCCCACAGCTCTGCCCTCTGCCTGCGCCCCACCGTCCCAGCCTGGCGGGTCCCAGGGTGCCAGGGGCTGCTTGGCTTGGCTGAGGGTCTGGGCCCCTCGGGCCTGCATACATCTGGTCTCTTTAGGAACTGGAGACCAGAGCAGCCAGACGACTGGTATGGGCACGGGCTCGGAGGAGGTGAGGACTGTGCCCACTTCACTGACGATGGCCGCTGGAACGATGATGTCTGTCAGAGGCCCTACCGGTGGGTCTGCGAGACACAGCGGGACAGGGACAGCGAAAACTAGCAGCCTCCTCTCCCCCTAATTTATTTCCTCAATGCCTTTACCTGCCATAGGGCTCCTGGTTTGGGGACCCTCCTATCTGGGGGCTTCTGGATTTTCATCTAAGATTTAGAGGGAAGGGTAGTGTCTGAGGAATGTAGACTGATGTTTGGAGGGGCGAAGAGATTGAAACCCATGCCACTTTCTGTGGTTTGCAGGTTATTACTGTCAACTTTTTTTTTAGAGTAAAAAGAAGAGAAATATATGAAATATTCTGAGTTGTCTTGTTGGGGATTAGGAATTGGGATTGGGCTGGTTGGCACTAGATGGCCTTGGGCAGGCAACGGGTCATCCTGAGAACTGTCTGGGCTTTGGGCCAGGTGGCCTGGATTTGTTATTTACAGGTATGAGAGTTAGGGCAAGTTATTCTGCTCCCTGAGTCTCAGCTGTGAAGCGGCATCGTTACTGAACTCGGTTTCGGCTGCTTGTCTCTCAAGAATCCAATACTGAGAGACAAGTGCTGGGTAAAAGGAAATATAGCTTTACTGAGGAAGCTGGCAGTCCTGGGGAGAAGGTGGATTCATGTGCCAAAGAACCAACTTCCCCTTGCTGATCAGGGCGCACGGGCTTTTAAAGGGGAGTATGGGTACATAGGCCGGGCAGGGGGCTACATGCAGAACAGCACAGTTAGCTCTGATAATCGCCTTGAAATTGGTCATGCAGAGGTCTGATCAGCATCATCTTGATTGTTTCAAGTATAGTTAATCTTCAGTTCCAGGGTCGGTTTGTTCCCATTTCCTTGAGACCGGTTCTTGAATTGTACAAGATGGAGCAGCTTGTGTCATGACTACAGTCTGGTCATTGTGCAGTTAACTTTTTCCATTTGGTGGTGGTTTTAGTATCTGCAAAACAACTCAGGAGTGTGCCTCAGACACTATTGTCTGTGTCCTTCAGGGAGGAACTAAAGATCCTGTGACTCTATTGTCCTAATCATTAACTTCTTAAGCTTGTTTTTTTGTGACTCAGGGGAGGCGTGGGAGAGTACAGCATTTTTTTTTTTTTTTTATAAACAAGAGACAGGGGACATGGAGGGGCTTTTGTACCTGGGAGGTCCCCACAGGGTCCTGCTTGGTTTCACTGGGATCATCCTACCTCCAGCAATGCCCCCAGGAACAGAACCACCCCAGTGTGAACAGAAGCAGCATCCACAGTTAGGTAACAAATACAACAAATGCAAAGGTGAACCCACAACCCAGAATCACCAACATGGGAGGAAAACCAATACCATGGAAGAGAAAACCACAGCAAATAGAATCCACAACCCAGATGGGAGTTAACAGGACAAACAGATGAAGACTTTATGGACACTTATGGGTTTATCAACCAAAATGGACAAATTAACCCACAGATAAGACCTCCACTAATTCTAAAAAGGAGCAATGCTCTGACCACAATAAAATAAAGTTAGAAATAAACACAAAAGTATAGCCAAAAAAGATCTATCAGCATATACATGACTCACCATCTTTCTAGTTAACTTGAGTTTAAAAAAAATAAAAATGAAACAGTCAAGTGGTTTAGAAGTGAACAAGGAGAACACTACAGACTGAGATTGTGCGATGGTATAAAGCAATTCCCCAGAGGAAAAGTATGTAGCCTTAAGCACATTTATTAAAAAAATAGGAAAGGCTGAATGGAAAAAAGCTTATTTTTAACTTAAGACACTTGAAAAAAGCAAAACTTAATGCACTAGAAAATAAAAATGTAGATATCATCAGTAAAAACAAAATCTGATTCTTGGAAAAGGTAAATAGCAAACAAATATGAAGGAGAGTAAAGGAAATACAGGTACATGATTTTAGAAAGGAAAAAGGTTACAGAAGAACAGATATAGAGGATATAATTATGTAACACTGTCTGATTTGAAACAGCAGAGTACAGACAGTTTCTCCTACCATTGTTGTAATTTTTAGGTTAATCCCTTAGAAACAGAGCTTTTAACTTCCAAATTTATAAAGGGGAAAAAATGAAGAAAAAATAATCTAAAGGGTGGCAGGAAAGGAGAGAAAAACAGAACAGGTAGATAAGAAAAATCAAAGAGTTATGAATCCAAATATGTTGATGATTATATTAAATACAAAAGACTAAATAATCTGTCATCTATCTATCTATCTCTTTATTTATTTATTTTGGCTGCACTGTGCGGCTTGCGGGAATCTTAGTTCCCTGACCAGGGATTGAACCTCGGGTTACTACAGTAAAAGCACCAAGTCCTAACCACTGGACTGCCAGGGAATTCCCTAAAGTATGTTTTTTGTTTGTTTGTTTTTTGTTTTTAAAAGACATGAACTTACAGACAGAATAAAAGGTAAAGTCCAACCACATGCCCAAGAGACACATCTAACGAGAGAGGTTGAAAGCGAAACCATATGAAAAAGATATGTTAGGAAAATTCTAACCAAATAATTATCTTATTTTTTAAAATTAATTAATTTATTTGGTTGTGCCAGGTCTTAGTTGTGGCATGCATGTGGGATCTAGTTCCTTGACCAGGGATCGAACCCAGGACCCCTGCATTGGGAGCATGGAGTCTTAACCACTGGACCACCAGAGAAGTCCCCAAATAATTTTCTTATAAAGTACACTTTATAACAAAAATTATTCGAGATAAAGAGGGTCGCTTCCTAATGATAAAAGGTTTAGTTCAACAGGAAGATACACCAGTGTTAAATATATGTGCACAGAATAACATGGCCACAAAATACATAAAATAAAAAATCTGGAAGTACAAAAAGGCAAATCTATATTCATAGTAGGAGATTGTAATGCACCTCTGTCGGTAATTGATGTGTCAAGCAGACCAAAAAATCACTAAGTATACAGATGTTTTGAATGCCAGGTTGAAGTATAATGATCCAATGGACACGTTTCGTATAGTGCACCACTCATCAGCTACAGAATACTCATTCTTTTCAAGTATACTGGTACATTTTTTAAAAAATTGAGCAAATACTGGGCCATAAGGCAGATTTTTTTAAAAAATAAATTTATTTTATTTATTTTTATTTTTGGCTGTGTTGGGTCTTCGTTGCTGCACGCGGGCTTTCTCTAGTTGTGGTCAGCGGGGGCTACTCTTCATTGTGCGTGGGCTTCTCATTGCGGTGGCTTCTCTTGTTGCGGAGCACGGGCTCTAGGCTTGTGGGCTTCAGTAGTTGCGGCACGCAGGCTCAGTAGTTGTGGCTCGCAGGCTCTAGAGCACAGGCTCAGTAGTTGTGACGCATGGGCTTCATTGCTCTGCGGCATGTGGGATCTTCGTAGACCAGGGCTCGAACCCGTGTCCCCTGCATTGGCAGGCGGATTCTTAACCACTGCGCCACCAGGGAAGCCCCCATAAGCAAGTTTTAACAAATTTCAAATCGAATATTTTCACTATAATGACCAAAAAATGTAAGATTCCTATATAAAATATTAACTAGCCCAATTAAATGGTGTATTAAGAGAGATAACATGTTCAAGTAACATCTATGCCTTGAGTAAGAACTCAAAGATGCTTTAACAAAAGAAAAATCTATTCATAAGATAGACATAGGGAGTACAGAAGACTACATTAATGGAGTACAAAAGAAAAGATTACATGATGCAGAAAAAGCACTTGGCAAAAGCTCCACACCTATTTATGATAAAATCTTTTAGGACCTTGGCTGCTTCTGTATTGTTGCTCTACTGTTCTTAGCATATGAATTCTATCACCTGTTCCAAGACGACTGCCCCACTCCAGCTATGACACATTCTAGGCAAGAGGAAGGTGAGAAGAGAAAGAGAGAAAAGTATATCTATGAAGGGAAGAGATAAAACAATATGATCGTTCACATGGAAAATCAATATCAATAAACAATTAGACCTGATAAGAGGATTTAGGAGGTGTATCTGTTACCTATCATCACAGTGATATATAAAGAATATACAAGAACAAAATTAAAATCCTTGCCAAATTCATATAGGAATTCAATGTGATAAAAATACAGGTTTCAGCTGGATTTTTAAAAGCAACTCAACAATCTTTAAAAAACGATAAAAGTCAGTTTGGGAAAAAAAAAAGAGTAAAAATTGAAAGAAAGGGAAACCAGATTTACCAGGCATTAGAATATATTGCAAAGCCATATTCATAAAGACAGTATGGCAATTTTACAGAACAGACAAATAGACCAATGGTATGGAACAGGGGGCTTGGAGACAGAACTATGCATAAATGGAAGCAATATATAATAAGGGAGGCATCTCAAGTTCGTGGAGGAAAGACATTATTGGGAAAAGTGGCTATCCATATTAAGAAAAAAAAATTGATACCCAACAACACATGCAAAGGTGGATGCTGGATAGATTCAAGACTTAATATAAAAGGTAAAATTACAAAAATAATGGGAAAAAAGGAAGGAGAATCTTTTACCTAGGAGTACAGAAGGGCTTCAAAAATAAGAACCCCAAAGCACATACCATAACACACACACACACACACACACACACACACACACACACACACAATCAGTGAAATTGACAGTGTGCAAATTAAAAATTTCAGCTCAGTGACAATGTATCAGTTAGGCTCCTAGCAAGAAACAGATGGCATATATGAAATGGGTAATTGGAAGGTGTTTTAATAAAGAGATGATTTACAAAATCCTGTGAGCAGGATTAGGGAAGCCACGAGAAATAGGGCAGGGACCCAGGTATCCCAACAGTGGGGAGCTGGTGGCACCTTCAGGAGCCCAGAGAAAGAGAAAGCTGCATGGAGAGGGCCTCTGGGAGCTGTGACTTTTTCAGTCTGTTGTGACTTTTGGTTGCAGAAGGCAGTTAGCCCACAGCTACCCAGCAGGGAGGGAGCTGGGGAGTCAGTATCTTCATTTCCCTCCTCTTCCTCCCCCTGATCTCCTTCCAGGGCTTGAAGCCAGATGGCAAGGGAACACTTTGATGGAACCATACAGCTCAGCCTCTGAGGCCACAGAATGACATCGAGAAGGGTAGACAGTGGATGCAGAGGGACAAACAGAAGACATTCAGCACCAAAGGAGCCCAGAGACGAAGAAATAGATAGGAAATCTACTACAGAAGTAGCCAAGGATATAAACAGCAGTTCACAGAAGAGGAACCCCAGGGCTCCACTGTGCATATGAAGACATGCTTATAATCACTAGTAGGGAGAGAAATGCAACCTAAAACAAACATCAGCGACCCATCCCTTTACACCCATTCAGTTGACAAAAATGAGAGAG